CACAAGGTCGACTGGTGTTGGCAAGGCCAGACACTGCTCGGTAATGCACAGCCTGGTCCAGACGCAGGGCCCTGCGCTCAGAGCAGCTGTCCTGCTCCGTGTCCCTCCACGTGCCGGCTACCTGCATGTAAGTGACCTCTGCGTGCTACAAAGATATTCCAGCTCCCGCTCTGGGCCGGCAGTCCTCTGGCATCTAAAACCCAGGCTACGGCTGGGCTCCTTGAGTCTCTACCTGGCCCCCGAAGCAACCAGATGGTTCCAAAGGGTCTCCAGACAGAACCCAGGAGACACATGCTTATCAGACCACCTGGCAGAAACGCTGTCCAGATGGTCCGGGTCACTGGCTTTTATGGGGATCAGCTGAACTGTGTGCCCAGCAATTTTCCATGAAACCTACACGGGGATGGATTCTGATATGTCAGCAAGTATCCTGCCAACCCCTGAGATGCTCCTGGAGGGAGATTTGCAACAGAAACAAGGAAAACGAGAGCGGGACATGACACCGAGCTTGCTCCGTGCTCATCCTCCATCTGTTTCCAGCACAGATCGTCTGTGCACGGCTGCCCTCTGGAAGCGGAGCCCGGCTTCCAATAAGACTAATCTTGCCCATTAAAACTCCCTTCACATGTCCACCACAGCCCTCGGCATAGTGCAGCTGAGCCGGGAACCTTTCCGTCTGCGCCATCAAAGAGACGCAAGCCATACATTCACCAAATGGCTTTATTTTTTTTTTAAACTTTTTTATTTTACCAAATGATTTTAATACCTACATGCTGGCGACTACACGCAGCACAGAGGTCAGGAAAGGAGCACGCGCCAGCGGGGCAGGGCCCATACCCCATTCTGCCCATTGCAGAAGTCCCCGGTGCCTAGCACAAGCCCAGCACAGCGCCGGTGAGCGGGAAGTAGCTGCTAAAGGAACAGGATACCGCACAGACCCAGGAACGGCAGAGCCCGGCGAGGGCGCAGTGAGCCTGGGAACAAAATGAAACTTCCTGTACTCGGTAAAGACGGTAACAAAAAGAGCTAGGCACTGAGTGATGTAGGAGTCCGAGGGGAGTGGCGGCTCCGGCTGGGCGAGACGAGAGCAGTACAGGCCAACGACAGAGCGAGCCCCGGGAAAGAGGGCACGTGAGCTCGGCCGTCAAGCATGAGGAAGACTTGGTCAGGCCCTGGTGGGCCCACCTCTCCTGAACTATGAATGGAAAGTGGAAACAGATCTGGCCAATCTCCAACCACCCCAGAACCAGCTACGCTGAGGTTTTCTCAGAACTACAGTCCCAAACCCCGGCGACAGGTCTGATCAGAGGTGGAAGTGGGGGCGCGGCTGAGGCCTGGCCCACTGCCTCCTGTGCGGGACAAGCCCATCCAAGGCCAGGTCACGGGAGCAGCTCTGGTTCTGCTGGCGGGAAAGGGGGTGCTCCTTGCAGACACCCTCTGGGGTTGGGTGCTGGGCTTACACAGGAGCCGCAGGACCTCACTTCAAGCAGGCAGTAGGAAAAGGACGCGAGTTTTGGGATCCTGGCTGTTACCTCCAGTGAGTCAGTTCACTTCCAAAACGCACTTAGTTCTCAAACCAGAGCACTGTGAGTTTTGCTAGTTTGGGGTCAGAAAAACGCGATTATCCTGGTTGAGATCAAAAGAGAAGAGATGGTGAGACCTAACCCTACAGCAAACCTGAGCGGGTAATCTCACCTTGACTGAATAGACGGGGACATGTGTCCCTCGGGCCACAGCCTCCCCACGGGGATGCCGGAAGCAGCAGAGCTGGGCCTTCGGTCCCGGGCTCAGGCCCCAACCGTGCAGCGTCCTTGGTCCAATCCTAAAGCCGAACGTGGGTGCTTCCTGCCTTTATATGTGGATGGCTATTACCTGCTGACCACAAAGTCCGCTCTATCAAGGCTTCCCAAGTTCAGCAAAGACTACCCAACCATGGAAGCTGGCAGGGAAGGCGGCGGGAAGGAGACCGCGCCGAGCAGCGGGATGCAAGCGTGTGTTCACCCAGACAGCATCAGTGTTGGTCACATGAGCCTGGCTCGTGGGCCTGATGGCGCCTGTGCAGGCCCAGACCCCCACCCCCAGGAGACCGCACAGACGCTACGTACCAGCCGGTTCCTCTTGCCAAAGAGGAGAAGTCCCTTTAAAAATGACCAGGCTCAGACTGGCGATAAGGAGGAGTTACACAGGAGAGAGAGTTTCATACAGATTTTTGAGGCTGGCAGGGAGGGAAAGAGGGAGATGAGAGGAAGGATGGAGGGGTGGGGGAAGGGAGGCCCCTGGATCCCACTGCCCCTCTGGTCTGCGTGCTCTGTTACCAGTCACGGGGAATGACATAAGTCGCTGCTGCTCTCAGCCTCTGGACCGTGCCAGCCCTCCCTCGGGAAGGCTCCTGCCTCAGCCCTTCCGGGGTGTGCTGTAAGTCCCCATTTCCGTGTCTGCTCCTCCCTCGGACTGGGGGCATCTCCGGGACCCAGCACACGAGCGTAAATGAACGTCCAGCTCCCCAACGGGTGAACAGTGGGGCTGGAGTTCCTGGCCTCCCCTGGCTGCTCGTCCGGTCACGGCGGACACAGTGGAGACAGGCGTGTCCGCATCTGCCGCAAGAGCCACGATTCCCACCAACGGGTCTAGGCAGCCTCTCGCGCTACATACGGACTGTTTTTATTACTGTAGATGAGTGTCAAATTAGGCTCAAATTTTTGTATAAAGTCTAAATATTGAGAAAACATTACTAAAATGCATAATAGAATTATTAGCCAATTCGGTCTTTGGTCTTTCCATCTGCTTGGATCCAGGTTTGCAATAGCAAAAGTCTGCTATGCACCCACGCCAGATGTCACTGCCAGATGAGAGAGAGATCCCTAATACTCTTCCTCTCTAATCGGATCTGCCTATAGGGACAGTCTCCCCAAACTTCCAATCGCCACATCCAAGAGACAGATGTGTCTGCACACGTACATAGTTGCTGTTTAAGTTATTAAGCCAACACAGAAAACGGGGATGCCGACCTCCTGAAGGAGGCAGAGCTGAAAGAAGAGAAACCCCAAAACGTCTCTGGCTTGTTTTCAGAGAACACAAATATTTTGAGGGTCAGCACCACCCCATCAGACGGAGCACATCCCAGCCCAGGGCTTCCGTTATGTGCCCGCACCCCGCATCCTAAGGCTGACCTGGGCGGGCGGTTGTCACCCCTGAGACAGGGCGGCAGAGCCCTCCGCCGTGGTGAACAACCTGGGCCCGCCCAGTGGTGGCACCACAGAGTGGCAGGCGTGTCTTTAGCAGGTGCCGCTGTAGCCCTGGCACCAGGGAGGCAGGGGTGCAAACCCCCCATTTCGAGGCTTCCTGCTCCTATCTGGACCCACAGTGAGACGACTCAAAAGGATGATGCCTTCCTGCTGGTCCTGCCAAACACACTGCCTCTGCCTCCAGGAGGCTGAGGTGGACTCATCCACAGCCAGGCCTCCTGGCTCTGCACTGAGCTCCCGACGTGAAGCAAAGGCCCTGAGGCCCGGGAGCGGGCATCTCAGAGTTTGCAGAACCTCTCCAGCAACCTGAGCTTCAGCATCGTGACCACAGACACCAGGACAGGAGAGCCATGGCCTTCTGCTGTCCCCCGACCCTCCCTGACAGCAGGGCTGGGAACAGGGCTTTGCCCTCAACACCACTGGGCAGTCAGCCCTACCACTTCCTGGCTGGGCTCACGGGGACTCAGCTCACCTCTCCCCAGGGGAGCGAGAGCACCAGTCGGAGGCAGGAGGAATATAGGAGCCAGCAGGGCTGGTGTGTAGGGCGAACACCACTGCCTCTGGGGCTCTGTTACTCTGTCATTCCACGGGACGACAGTAGGCACTGGTTGGGGGGAGTGAGAGAGGGAGGCTCCAGTCACCCCTCCTTTTCACATCCCATTGGACGAAGGCAAACACCTGAACTCCGTGATGGGCCGCTGTGGTACGGAGGCCCCAGGCACTCGGTTTTCAATGTCTGGTTCCCCAGTCCTCCAATGTGACATGGGAAGTGCTTATTTTGTCCCCGCAACTTGGGGACGCAGGTCCACCAGCCCCAGATTTTCTGAAGTGTACACAAAGGAACGTGCCTCAACTCCTGGAAACCACCAGCCGCAGACTGAGGACCTTTCCAGAATCCCGGGAGATGGTCTAGGACGACCTGACACTACAGAGCACAGGATCCAGGCACGAACAAGGAGACTGAGGCAGGCACATGGGAGTGGCCTCTTCCCCGGGGACGTTTGTGCAAACCATCCTCTAACACCCCAGACCTCTAGGACATCGCCCACCCTGGAGAAGCCCCTCTAACGTCACCCCTTCTGTGAAGCCTTCCTGATTGCCCTGTGCCCGCCGCTTCCTCCCCTGAACCTCACAGACTCGACATGATGCTCGGCCCGGCCCCTGAGGTGCAGCGAACCCCCAGCCTGCATAGCCACGCCCAGCGAGGCCAGGAAGCCTCGTGGGGGCCTCCTCCCTCCCCCTTGGCCTCTCGGGTGCCTTGAGGAACACTGCCCCAAAGCAGATGTTCTCCGGGACGGCTGAGCACAAACGCGAGTGCACCCCGGACCCCGGCATGACGGCAGGTCACGTGGGGCTGCTCTTGTGCCTCGGGACCTGTGCCACGCCCCCCAGCCACCCAGACAACTGCATCCGTCCTGTGTCGAGTTGTCACTCTGTGACACTTCCCAAGCCCAGCATTGGGAGGCCAGCGTGAGAACGTGTCGCTAACACAATCGATGCTGGCAAGAAACACATGACCCACGACATTTCAGGGAGGCGGCCCTCCCTCACCCTGAATCCACACCTTCTCGGTGGGGGCCTGGGACAGGGAAGGGGCTAAGGAAGGACACCCATGGTCCACGTCTACTTGGCATGCCCTTTCTGAGCTCTGCGTGCTGAGCACCCGGTGGTGAAGCCCCCTGGGGTAATTCTTGGGGAGCACAAGCCCCAAGCAGGGGGCACCACGTGCCAAGGTGGCCGCCATGAAAAGGATATGATTCTCCAGTGGACGTCCAGCTTGCTGTCGATCTCCAGGCCACGGGCTTCCTGCCTCTCTTCCTCCAGTGGCTTCGGATTTGCAAGCTGTCCCTTCTCACCAGGGGATTCTGGGAAACTCTCAAAGTTGAACTTGTCCACTTGAATGGCCATTCTAAGAGAAGGGGGGACAGCAGAGAGTGAGTGAGCAGGCAGGGTCGGCTGCCGGCTGTTGGAGCGTGAGCACAGGCCTGCCGGAGACCGTAGGATTCATCGTTGTCAGTAGTTCAGAATGGGTTCGTTCCAAGGAAAGGGCCTGGCAACTCCCAGAGCAGCACCGGCCCCAGAGGTGATTCAATGCACAGCCTAGACCTGGGGACACGGTCAGAGACCCTAACCTCAGAGGAGACTCACACTCCCCTGGAGAAAACATCATTTCTGGACCAGGGTGAGGCAGGCAGGATGCGGTTTGGGTACTTAGAGGGGACGGGAATCATTTAAGGCTGGGGACCCCAAGAGCCGCCTCAGCAGCAGCCCCTCGTCTCTCAGTCGCACCCCACCAGCCGTGCCCATTCCCATCTGCCCCCGCACCCGGGACCCTCTGTTGTGACACCCTCCCCACCAGGTTTCTGCTCCACTACCATGTCCTCTCCAAAGCCTCCCCACTTGCTGGTGTGTCCAGCCCTCTCTACCTTCTGGCAGTTTCTCGAACACACTGGGTTCTTCCTGCCTCAGCCTTGGTGCTCACTGCTCCCCAGGCTGGGACCTTCTCCTCCTGAAGCCCCGTTCTCAAGGCTGGAGCTTGAGGAAGGTGTTCGGGGCACCCCCTCGCCCCACCTCCATGACACCATTAATCTCTGCAGTGACATTTATCAGGAGCTGTAAAAACACTTACTTGTGGGCTTCAGGGTCTATGGGGTCTACTGGAATTTAGGTCCCCAAGGGCAGAGGTCTGCAAGGCCATGCCATGGTCTCCAGGCCTGGGTCATGCCTACACGCCGTGGCCAACTACTCCCCAAACAAACAGGGCGAAAACCAAGACTTCCTGCCACGCCGGGCCAATGCTCACCTCTCCCCCTCGCAGCTGCCTGACCTTGTACCTTGCCCTTGCTCCGCTCCGGGCCCAGGCGCTCTGCAGCCTGCCTCCACTCCCCACCCGGCAGCTTGGAAGAAGCTACCCAGCTGCCTTAAATACACAGTCTTCAGCCAGGAGGTGTCCGGAGCTCAGCTGCCCCAGGGAACGAGAGACTCGTGTGTCAGCAGAGAACGTGGGGGCTTTCGGAGCCAGAACTCCGTCTGAAAGCTACACGGACTCCTTTCTGACGGTGGAAGTAGACAGGCTTACCAAAAAAGGAAGGAAAATAGCAAAGAGCATAAAAAAGAAAAAAGGACTCGAGCCTATTCCCTAACTGTAATACCTTCATGCTAGTCTTTCTCCTATGTATTTGTACATCAGTGCAGTTCGAATGACTCTATGTGTACAAGTTATTACACATCTTGTCTTACTCACATGCACGCACATAAATATATACATAGACTACATTATACCTGCTTTTTTCCAGATTTATTTGAGAGAGAGACAGAGAGACAGAGAGAGCGCAGGGCAGGGGCAGAGGGAGAGGGAGATCAGCAGACGCTCCGCTGAGCGGGGAGCCTGATTAGGAGCCTGATCCTAGGACAGAGATCACGACTTGAGCCAGAAGTCAACAGTCGGTTGCCTCACTGGCTGAGCCCCCAGGTGCCCTCTGCACCATTTCACTTTCAGTGCACTATGAACACTTCCAAATTACCACAAACCAGTCTGCAGGACATCCCCTCATGCGGCCATACCATCGCTTACCCAACGATCGCCCTGCTTTCAGACTCAGAGATCTCCCAATTTTTAAAAAAATTACTGTTGAAAAAATCCTAAACATCTTCGCGCTTCAATTTCCGGTCTGCATTTATGCAGCGTGTGGAGCCCGTCTCGAAGCGGAGACTGGATCCAGAGGGCAGAAAAGGTCAAGGCTGAGAGCGCTGAGCTCATTCTCAGACAGGATCCCCCTGAGGCACACGGGCAGCGAGATGGTGCCCCTCACGCCGCGCCCCTGCAATCCTGGCCAGGACGGAGTTTCGGTCTTCACTAGGAAGAAGCAAAACGCTGCCTCGCTGATGCTGGAATTGGCAGGCCTGAATTGCTCCGGAGACCGAACATTTTTCTGGAAGCTTATTAGCTCTTTCGTACGTACTTTTCTTTCCTCGTGAGGTGTCTACCCATGCAGCAAGAGCACCCCTAATTTCCCGCTCAGCAAGGGCTCTCCCCAGGCCCCCACCTCGAAAGCAGACCGAGGCAAACGAGTGTTCTCTTCAAGCAAAAGGTCAGGATATTTCCTAGCTTTCACTAAAAAAGGCCAATTTCCATTCACCCCCGCGTAACCCAAAAGCAACTAATAACTTTCACCTTTGAAATGTGTTTGGCAACATTCTGGATCCCAGGCTCTCGCCGCTGAACACAGAGGGGCAGCGCCCGGCCAGCACCCCACATCCTCCGGGGCGGGACATACGCCCAACGCTGTGCCAGTGCGGTTAGATGTGGGTGCTTCTCTGGACGACTTTTTGAACAATTTCTGGAGAAGGAAGCACCAAACCGCATCACCTCCCTCCACCCTGGATGAGAGCATAAGCTGGCTGTGCTGTAACACGGACGGCGGAAGGAGGTGGAAATTCACAGATACCTGCCCCGCGCCGAGCCCCAGGCTAAGCGCTGTGCACGGACATTCGCCCGAGGGATCGCAGCTGGAGGAGGAACGTGATCTCCTTCCTCATCAGCCGCTGTCCCACGCCAGGAGCCGGCCGCCCGCATCGAGGCCGTCGCCCAGACTCAGTGCTACTGCTCCGCTTTCAGCTTCCTCCGGCTGGCGTGCAGAGCACCCAACGGGGAGTCGGCTTTTGGTCGTGCTGTGTGCAGAGCTGGCATGGGACACAGTGCCAGGGACGGCGAAGCCTGCTGCCTCATCTACACACCAGCGCTCCCTGAATCTACAAGAGCCCCCACCCCCACCGCCTGTGACAGGCAAGGCCAGCGAGCATCCCGAGGGCGGTATCCCTCCTTTCCCACAGACGAGAACGCTGGGGGACCAAGAAGCTAACTCACTAGGGTCACCCAGCTCAAAATCCCAGAGCCAGAATGCCATGTCCGAAGCCAAGGATTGCTTCCCTATAAACCACCATAAACACCGCTGGCCTTGACCTCTCCACGTGGTCTCGGAGCACAGCCCCTAGGCGTCACCACCCTCCTCCATCCTCCCTTCCAGGGCAACGTGTGGCCGGTAACCTGTTTTCCTGGAGCTGAGTCTGGACGCGTGAGCTCTCTGCCTGCTGAAAGTCGCTGTGTTCCATGAAGCAGCAGAGGGACCCTTCGCCCTGGTGCCTCGGAGCTGCCCCGGTCTGAGTCCAGCCACGCAACGGGCTTCAGCCATCACGGCTTGAGGGGTTTGCTTTTGTCAGGAAGCCACCAGACTGGGGACGGGAACAACTGTGGGGGTGTGCATGGGGGCACCAACGTGAGGCACACCCCACTCCGCTCCCATGGGTGCACAGCCTGGAGTGCGGTCTGCAATTTTGGAAAGGGCGGCCGCAGGCTCACGAGTTCTCATCCGGGCACGTGGGCCACCACCCGCTCGTGGGCAGGGGTGGCTTCACACCGCAGACGACGTCACGTCCATATTCTTAGTGCGCAAGCCTTCTTCCAAACGACAAGGGAACACCAAGCCATAAGGAGGCACGGGAGCCGCGGGACTGGCCACACGCACGTGGAGGACAGCTTCCCGGCACGGCCCTCCTTGCTCGGGCTCACGCTCATGTCACCTCTGGTACATGAGGTGAGGCCGCACACATTGGAGGGTATCTGGGCAACCCCCCACAGGTGTCCCAAGAGTAATTCAAAACCAAGACTGATCCGTGGGCAAATCACAGAAAAATCGGAAAACACAACGTTCAGAAATGATAAAGGGAGGAGAGAGCAGGCGGGACGAGGACCCCCGGGGAGCACACGTGCCCTCCACGCGGCCACAGGAGCTCAGCGCGCGGCAGTGACGGCCCTCACCGGGGACTGGGGCCGGCACGGAAATCGCCCTTCACACGAGACCTTGTGTTTGGGACGCCTCTGCTGTTCTTGTTTGTTTCTACTCGTTTTTACTTTTTTATTTTTAATCGAAGTGTAACTGGCATATGAGTTTCAGAGGTTCAACACAGTGACTCAACCCTTCCATACGCACCCTGAGCGCTCACCACAGTGAGGGACCTACCGTGTTACCGTGTTCTCTGTGCTCTGCTGCTTGTCCCCGTGACTTACTCTCCTGGAGCTGGAGGTCGGCACCCCGTCATCCCCATCCCCCACCGCCGCCGTCCCCCACGGCCGCCGTCCCCCGCCGCCGCCGTCCCCCACGGCCGCCGTCCCCCGCTGCCGCCGTCCCCCACGGCCGCCGTCCCCCGCCGCCACCGTCCCCCACCGCGGCCTCTGGTGACCACTGGTTTGTCCTCCGTGCCTGTGAGTGTTTGTTTCCTCGTTTGCTCGTTTCTGTGTGTGTCTAGGTTCCGCGTGTAAATGGAATCATGTGGTGTTCGTCCCTCTCTGTCTGGCTTGCTTCATTTAGCACGATCCCCCCAGATCCGTCCGCGCCGTCCAGAAGGGCATGACCTGTATTTGCCATCGAGTGAAGGCATGCTGGTGGGCAGAGTGAATGATTGGTGGTTAGTGGCTGACCTGGGCCAAGAATCCGGTCTCTGGTCTCCCCGTCCACCGCGGTCTCAGAGCGGGAAGACATCCACAAGGGACGCCAGGAGGCAATGGGTCCCCAGTAGATGGGCAGAGGGTCGAAGAACCTGGCTCTCGTCACAGCCACTGGCTGGCGCGGGGGCGAGCTCCAGGGCTAGGCCGCCAGCTCCCCTCGAGGGTGTTCTTGGTCGTCTTAGTGTCTCCCCCACACCCCTGGCCTTCTTTAAAGCCAACCTGGTTCTCTAAAGTAGGGGAACACCCGCTGGCTCAGTGGTCCCCCTGAGAAGTCTGAGCATGTGTGTAAGTGTGCTGCTACTTTGCCAGGGGTCATCTGGATTAGTCGCAGGGACCAGGCTTGAATCCCGGATCGGGGGAGAAGCCCAGGCCGCACACACATGTGCCCGGACAGCCTCCTTCAG